AAATGGAAGCCACCTAGATGTCCAATGATAGGAGCATGGGTAAATAAGTACGATATGGCTTTACTGTGTAATATTTTGCAACCATTAAAATTATGTTTCTGAAGAATTTTTAATAGCATGGGATGAAAGTCCAAAACAAAACTGTATGTGTGTATTCTACATATGCCGTAAATATATAGTATAATCTCAATTATCTAAAGATCTATGTAGAAAAGAATGACTAAATAGGTGTATATACAAGGTCTGTCCAGAAGGTATCCAGCCATGTAATATGAAAAATAGAGGCATTTATTGAAGAAGATACAAGATACAAGAAAAACTGTACATAGGACAATGACACCTCAGTCCCTTCCAAAATAGGTGCCTTGGGACCTCACACAGGTGTTGTGATGAAGCTGCGAATCACCAGCTGCCCACAGCTGCAGCCTTCTGAATCATTCAAATAGTTTCTGTGGGGGAATGTTCAAGCTTAACACAAAATTTGATGCAGATTTGTTGCCCTACTTAATCAGTCATTTTGAATGTGATGGCCACACAGTACTCATACACAGTCAAATGTGTCTACCGCCCCCACTGACTAGTACAGCAAAGTTGTCATTGTTCATACATGTGCATTCCAGTCTACTCTCCCTGGCTGCCAGCTTACATCAATGTCATGCAAACTGTTCTCATATTAACAATGGCTGGGCTTTCACCAGACAGACCTCATATTTTTATGTATATATGTTAATAGTGATGGAATTCTGGTGATATTTCTTTTTTTTTAAATTTTATATATGTTCCAGGTTAAAAAATAAATATGGATTGCTTGAGAGCATATTATTTTAAAATATACATACAAACATGTTTAAGAGGAGAGGTTGCCACAGATATCATAGCTTTCTCTGTGGCTGCTAGACAGGCATTGCTAATTATCATGCACATCACAGATCCAACTGGGTCTTTTAAAAACGGCTACCCTTTCCCTTTAGAAGCAATTTCTAATTCATTAGCCAATTAACTGCATCTGTTTCTGAAAAAATATGAGTGCTTGACTGAGCTCGAATCTGTGGGATGGTTTTTCTTAGAAGATGTTCCCCCTGCCGCTGAAGCGTGTTCCTGTTGTAGAGGGGTAGGCGGTTAGGGGGAAGGGAGACTTGAAGAACACTTTCAGCAGCAAAGGAGCCATTCGGTTATTTTCACAGCATTCGAAAATCTGCTTCCTGGCACTTGGCTGAAATGACGGGTGGCACCATAACTGGGCATCTAGTAAGGCGTGGTGGTTCTCGCAGGCCACTTAGCTCCAGAAGATATCAATTTAGATTTGTAAAACAATGAGGAAATGCAAAAGTTCCAATCGATAGCACAAAAGCCCCACGTTTCATGAGTCATCATGTACTCCTGAAAGATGTTTTCTATTGCTGAACTTCTTGTTCAAGTGCAAACATGGTGCAAAACACCAGAAAACATCTTTAGAAAGGTGTGAGATTTGTGTCTGTTTTTCTTCCTTTTCTCATGGGGCGGGGGGATATTTGTATTGGGGTCATATATATTCAATTAAATGATAATTTCTAGAACACTAGGAATGAACTGGTTGCTAAATTAAGTGGTAACACAGTAAATAAGCTCTCTAACTACTTTCCTAAATTGTGAGTTAGTGTAAAAAAATCATATAAGTTGTCCCTTTGTCAAAATAGAAAAAATTTCTTTTTAATGTTTACAGGTACGGTTGGCATCTTATTTTTTTCTATGGCATATAATTTATTAATATCATTTATTTTGATCCTCCAATTGTTCCAGACTTAACCAACAGAAAAAAGTATGTATGTAGAAATAGAGACATATGTAGTCAATGGATCTCAACCTGGGGAGATTTTGCCTTTTATATGACATTTGGCAGTGTCTGGTGATGTTTTAGTTTTCATATCTCAGGGCTGAAGGAAGGGATGATAGGGGTGTCTCACTAGCATCTAGTGGGTTGAGGCCAGGAATACCGCTAAACATCCTACAATGTATAACCAGAATTATCTAGCCCAAAGTGTCAATAGAGATGAGGTTGAGAAAGCTTGACGTGGGTAGACAGATGGAGGAATAACATAAAATGGTATATAATAGTAATATCAGGGTGAAAGGTATATGGGGATTTTCTGTAAATTTGAAATTATTTCACAATTTTTTTAAGTTTCGAATGGGTGTAGTAGTCAGTTCTGGTCTGCGTACTCTGATCTGCAGCCTAGTGGAGAAAATGACTTGTCCCTTGTTGAGCATGTAAGTCCAGCTCAGTCAGTCAGTGTCCATGGCCTATGGGTCACAGTCTTCAGGGGCAGGAAGGGAAGTTAGCAGAGGTCCCAAGTGTGCACATGGCCTGGGACTATACCTGCTTCCTTCACCATGAGAATGCACACCCTCATGTGGAGGCCATATTTATACAGAGAACTGAGAATCAATGTTCTAATTAAGCTCTTCTTTAGAATCTGCATTTGGAAGCTGCAGATGAAGAACCCACCCTTCCCCACCCAACCCCTCTTTAGCTGTGTTTTGTCTCCAGGCTGCACTGTATTTCATATATATCAAGGAATTGTTCCCAGGTCTCCTCCCCACACTATGAGCTCCTCTGGGTTACGAGCCCTGCCTTCTACCATATGGAGGGGCCGTGTAGTGGCTCAGAAGAGTTCAGGCGCTGGAGACACGCTGCCTTGTTTTACTAGTTTATCACCTTAATTATATTATGGAACCTCTTTGTGCTTCAGTTAAGTGGGGAGAAAAATAGCACACCTGGTAGAGTTTAAATAAATAAATACAGAGTTGACATGGTACATATTAAGACCTTAATAAAAGTTAATGTTCATTCAGTCAATCATTTATTCTATATTATTAAGATTATTTCTGCCCGCACACACCCCAGTACAGTGCATCCTAGCCTCTGGGTTAGGAAGACATAACCAATGTGTCCAGCTATCCCGCGCTACTACAGCCCTGTCTCCGTTTCCCTTGCATTGACGCAATTCAAATGCTTATTGAGCATCTCCATGCTCAGTGGCAGGCACAGTGACAGAAACTTTTAAATCCTCTACGTCCCTGTCCCTTTCCCATCCCATCTCATCCTATCCTGTCCAGCTTTCTTATTCCGTTCATTGGGTGTTACCAACAACCATACACTGTACTGAAGGATTTTTATTTCAATTGCTTCTCATAAGAGCCCTGTGTGAGGAAGAGGCCATTATTCTCCTCACTTTACATTTAGGGAAGCTGAAGCTTGGAGAGATTAACAGACTTGACCAAGGCTGCAGAATTAACAAGTAGGATGTTTTTCCTCCACTTTCCAAGTAATGATGTACTTCGAGTAGGGGAGGGCCCACTGCATAGGTAGGCTGATTTTACTTCCTTGCAAATCACAGAAGCTGGAAGAGAGCGATGCAGATGTAGCATTTGTCATGGGCCAGGAGCTGCTAGGTGCTGGGACATAAAAATGGAAAAAAGTTGGTCAGTGACCTCAATTTGTTTAGTGTCTCAGTTATCTTTCACTGTGTAATGAAACACCCTCAAACTCAGTGGCTTAAAACAATGATTTACTGTTTCTCAGAATCCTATGAATTGTCTGGATTCACGAGACAATTCTTCTGCTCCATGTAATATTGTTTAAAGTCATTTGTGTAGCTGCACTTAGCTGAGAGCTTGGCCTGGGGTCTAAGATGGCCTCAGTTACACGTCTGACAGTTGGTGCTGGCTCTTGGCTGGGGCCTTGCGTGCTCCAGGGCCTCTCACCATGCGATCTCTCCGACAGGATAGGCTGGACTTCTCTATGTAGCTGTTGTTTCCAACAGAGTAGAAATGGAAGCTATGTGGTCCCTTTAAGGTCTAGTTATAGAGTTCACACAGCACCACCTATGTGGCATTCTGTGGCCCAAAGCAAGTTTGAGGGCCAACTCAACAGGTGGGGAAAGGGACTCTACCTTTTGATATTTTTCTTCTTCTATTTCTGTGCCTGGGACCTGCCCCCTATTCCTGGGCTGAGCACCACGGTCTTCAATGAGTGCTTTTGACCTCACTGACCAGCATTCGCTAGGCATACATTCGTCGTCATTGCCTTGTTTGCACATTCGAAACATGAAATGATGCTGGATTGTACCACATGAATAAACAGCAGCTGTCCAACCCACACCAGATGTTATAAATGAAAGTCAACACATTTATGTAATGCTTCAAGTAGTTTATTATACTATGGTACGTTTTTTTCTAAAATTCAAAACTACTGCAATATAAAATGTGTTACTTGCTTTGAAATGAAGCAGGTAAGCCATAAATTATTAATTTCTCTCAGGTTAACCACAAGCCTGACAGTAATTAAGAGGTTCTATTTCCCCAGATCATTAGGATGCTGTTTTGAATATTTCTAGTCTCCTGGGTAGAGGACAGATACTCACTTTGTATTAAAGATAATGTTTATTATCAGATACAGTTCTGGGATTCCTCCCTAACCTCATGGGGGTATCTGACTCTTACTGAGCATTAATGTAAATAAGGCCTGTAATTCTTAGACTTATGACTTCCTGAAGACCATACATTATTAAAGAAGATCTGGTAGAGACATTCTTCAGGAAAAAAATATTCATTTGATTTCTGCTATATTGAGTACATTGTAGATTGCATAAAATGATTTTTAAATTCTAATAGCATTTATCATTTTATAAATTAAGTGAGTAATATTTGTTTATTATTAAAATTTAGAAATGGCATTAGCACACAAAGGATAAAATAAGGATCACCCATGATCCTATGTTGTAGTCAAAACCACTGTTAACATTTTAGTGTCTGTATTTCCCATCAGAAAGGAGAGACAGAGAGAGAGAGAGACAGAGAAACATGTTTTTCTTTTTTTGTTAAATGGGATCATATTCTAAAATAATTTTGCAGCCAGATTTTTTGAGTCTTTTATTTTGCCTCAGTGTGGCAAAAACATTTTTCATGTCATTAAATATCCTTCTACTACCCAGGGAAGTAACTCTCTCCTGTTTTGACAGGGCAGTGATATCGAAGCACTGGTCAGGTGCTTGGAGAATGCTCTGGGTCGCACCTCTCCAGGTAAGCTTCTTCATGCCAAACAGAGTGATACCTGCTGATTCTAGTGGGCCATCCAAGGAAGAGAAAGTTTAGAAAGAATCTTCCAGATATTTCGGTCCAACCTTATTTTATAGATGAGGAAACGGAGGCCAACCAAGTCTGAGTGTCTGGCCCATGGGCCCAGGGGTCTCAAAGAAGAATTGTTTATTATTGTTGTTAGTGTCCAACAATATATGTCAGTCTCCAAGAATGAAATAATTGAAATTCAGTGACTTATTGCGATAAAATGGTGGCCTACCAGTGCTTACTACCTGGTTTCACAGGTTTACTTGAAGAGATATCTGTCTACCTTGTTCCCCCTGTAGAAACAGATTGCATTTGGGCCAGCTGAAAGGACCATCACGCTGAAGGTCAGTTAGTTATTGGAAGAGATTTGGTCTGAGAAATCAAGCTGAAATTTCTTTAGCATTGTCAGTCTCCATACTTGAGATTGCTGCGTGCTCCAAGAAGAAACCTTTATTTCTTGGTTTCTTCTTTTTTAAATCCCAAAAGCCAACCATGATAATGCCTGGCACTTGATGATAAATTGTCATTTTTCAGTTTTTTAATTTTATGACCAAAAGCCATCTCTTTGAAGGGAATGGCAGATATAAATATTGAATGTTCAGGTGTGCAGGCATTTATAACTGTTTTGTTAGGAGCTTTATGCGCACTTGATAGCCTGTTTCTAGCTTATTCTGCATCTCTGTGTACAAAGCCTCAGTTATAGCACAGCTCCCTAATTTTTCCTCTGGACCATCACCCTGTGATCTGTTCAACTGCACGTCAGTAGCACTTAGCAGGCACATTTAACTCCCAAGAATGGACCGGAAGAATAGACAGGCCTTCCTTTGGCCAAGTCACTTTCCCTTGGACCTCAGATTACCTCAGTTAGATTACCTCAGTAGTTTTCAAACTGGGTTCCTTGGGACCGCTAGGAGCGGGAGCGGGGGTGGGGGGTGGCCACTGAGCTGCCTGAGGATAGAAGCCAGGTCTGCACCGCTCATCTCTGCTTCTCCATGGTCTGAAAGCACCCGCTGCAGAAGAGGCATTTAAGGGATCTTTTAAAACTTTAAGAGTGATGAGTAGCAGACCCTGCTCCTTTACCAGCTTCGACCAAGATAGTTTTACTCAACTGTTTCATAAGTTAGATTTCTACATATAAGATTGTGTCTTGGAAAAGATGGATTCTATTGCAAAGAAAATTAACACAGGATTGGAGATACGATATCTAAATTCCCTTCTGGACTGTATGATTTTATAAAAACGAACATAGAAACATGGAATAAAAATACACATTTATCTCTGCCTGGAGCTCTACAAAGTGACAGAAAGGGAATAAGTGATATAAACCCACAGGAACAAAGGGAACAGGAAAGGACACGGACCAGGCCACAGCTGTTAGTGAATTTGAAAAGATAGAAAGCAGAAGGGTGAGCGGAACCTGATTTAGAAAACAGGGGAAGGTGACATCTTTGTCCCTAAGATGGGAGCGGGAAGAAGAGGGGGAGGCAAGCTTTCGAAAGACCTGTCTGGGGTGGCACTTACTCAGGACGCTCATTGCAGACTCCAGGCAATTCTCTGTTATTACACAGGAGCCATGAAGAAACCTCCTCACGTAGTCTTCCAGGGGATGAGGTTGCCCAGGGAGCGAGGCTCTGTTTTGCTGTGATGCCATTTTGGGGAAATTGGCCAGCTGTGATAATAGTTAGAGCTAATTAATTGCTGTGCTTGTTAATATATGTCAGAATGTTAACAGAATCCGAAGGACAGTTTAAACGTAAATGTGTCAGAATATAAACCTTGTCCCTTAAAAATGAGATCTCGGTGAACTGAGCTAGACTTGGCTCACATTCAGCATCAGCCCATGTATTTTGTAGCCTTGAAAATGTTGTGAGCAGTGGTTTGACCCCATCCCCTACACCAGATTTAGTTTTACTTCTATTTAAAACAGGGACAGTGTATTTTCCTTTTTATATCACTGGGGAGTAGAGAGGATGAATAAGTGAGCATTGCGTAGCTTCAACATATCCTGAATTAAAAGGTGCCCTTTGAGTTCCAAGTTCAACTTATTTGCCTCCTCTATGCATCAAGGTCACTTTAAAGCCTTTGGATCTGTGGTTCTCACACTTGCGCATGCGTCAGAACTGCTTACAGGGCTTTGACAATGCATAGCTAGTGCATGCTCAAGAAGTTGTATTTCTAGTAATCCTCAAGTGATGCTGATATTCTGGGTCCAGACCACACTTGGAGAGCCATGGCAGCATAGAAAGTTTAGTGTTCTTTGAAGTTCGAGAAATTAGCTGTACTCCCAGAGAGAACTCATCAGCAGATTGACACAAGTCCTTGGTGAACTATGTGTATAAAAAGGCTGTTTTGTAGATCTAAACTGAATATTGTCACAAGTAATTAGAATAAAAACAGATTCTTCACAATCTCTCCGCCTATTAAGATTCCTTTGGTGGTGTTGATACGTTTGATCAGTTTGGCTTTTTGAAAATTGTTATCCCTCAATTCTTCCATTGATCTTTGGAAATAACTATTTCATCTCTACTAAACAATGTCACTAATACAGACCAGAGAAAGCAACAGGGCTTCTGAATCCCTTAGAAACTTCATTTGCTTAAGCTCTCCAAGCCCGAAGCAGTTAAGTATCGGGATGACTGACAGGCACTTAACCTTGCACTCTTGTGCTTTTCACCTTCTCGTAATAATTACAGTGTTTTCAACATAGTGTTTTATCTGTGGTCACTGGCACATTGAAACCACTACTTTTGGAGATGAGGAGGGATATTTTAGATCATAAACCACTTGGATCATTTTGATGTGAATGCACAATATTTGTTTGCCACTATCCCTTCTGTTTATGCACTAGAGAAACTTAATAGTTTCTGTAAGTTCTTTAAAACTTGAAAGGATACAGCAGATTCAGAATTAGTGGCAACTTACAGAGAGCCTGCTATCTGTCTGTTACCATGCCAGACCCATTCAGTGGGGAGGTGTGTGGTGATGGAAGAGAGTGGGGAAAGGCTTTGTAATATAAATAAATCCCTAAAACAATGTTATTAATCATTCTTTGTAGTAAACTCTTAGCAAAGGATATTCTGTATACTACTAATACCTAGACTAAAAAGTTCCAGTAATCAGGTTTACCTAATTAAGAAAGAGACTCAGCAATCAAGCACTCGTTTATTACTCATACATTATGATTTCATCAATGTTAGCATACATCGTAGAAGAGTGGTGTTAGTTCACAGTGATGTGTTGGGGCTGATCCTGTTACCAAAAACTTAGGTTTCAGAGGAGAACTAAGACAACCTAAGTAACGATACAGCAAGAGAGTAAGAATTCCAAAAATAGGGATACTACTTCTAGTTAGGGAGAGAGAAGTCATTAAAGAAGCTCAAAGGAGCAGGCAGCATCTGAGATCATTCCTGATACCAGGAAACATTTGGCCATGAGAAGATGAGGCAACTGGCCCTGCAGCTGCAATGGACAAGACGAGGAGGAACGCACACGACGGGGGTACCAGGAGGGCTTTGCAGGGGAGGGGACAGCTGTCCCATTTGGTGTCATTTGTCCAAATTGCCATGCTGTGAGCATGGCATGAACTATCTCAGTAGCTAATTTTTATTATTTTTTCCTAAACAAATAAGGTCTTCTTTTCCTTGAAAAAGCTGTTTACTAGGATCTTCACTCTCAAGCACGTGATGCTATGGAGGAGAATATTCACCGCCACTGTCTCCATGGAGTATCCACAGCTGAAGAAGTTAGGGTCTGGTGGGCACACGCCTCCTCTTAACCTGTATGCGCACTTAATCGCTTATTAAAAATAAGACACTCCCTTTTTTCTTTTTCTTTTATTTTTTACTGATAGGTGCTATTCTTAGAGCCTTTTCCTGGTATGTTCAAAAGGAAATGAGCATTTTCAAACCCCTGAACAGGATCCTGTTTTTAACTTTCCATACAGTTTAGTTGAATATTTGTTATATGAAATAACCATGTAGTAAAAATAGAAACTTTATCGATTTCCTATCTTCCGGTATTTATTATCTCCCATGAGTAGCAAATTTGCTTTTCTGAGCTAACCCACTTTTTCTTTCCCAACTAATTTAATTTTGTTGGGGGCCATGCACTGGGCTGTGTGCCATGTGGCTGAGGGAGGCAATGTCATAAATTTACCTGGGTCTTTTACCAACAGCGAAAGATCATTGCATTTAAGCTTTACTAGAGTCCCAAAAGTTTGGGGGCGGGGGGTTTCTGTACAGGTGAAGAAAGGGAGTCATTGAAGTGTTTAACTTTCTGAACACCAAAGACTCAAACCCCAGTCCTCTAAGGCAACTCACATGCTCATCCTAATGGGCCCAGCTCCCTTCCTACTGGAAGCTTCTGGAGGTGTCTCTCCTGGACCACTGCTTTCCCCTTTTCTCCTGTCTGCTTCCTTCTTCAGCCCCCTCATGCGGTGCGGCTTGGGCACGGCTGAGGCTGCAGGGCTGACAGCAGCATCCTTAGCTGATAGCTTCTGCCTTGTGCCTATAGAAACAATTCTCTGAAAGAGATGGGAGTGAGGGGGCATGGGGTGGGAATGATTGTATTTTTGTCATTTTCATTATTGCTTTTATCAAATACTCAACTTGTTAAAGGCACCAAGACAGCCACCTCCATGTCTCCACGCCCTTCAATCCCAGCACTCGTGTGTCAGGGCTTGGGATCTTCAGGAAGCAGCCCCTGACACGGAATTGGGTGGGCAGGACATTTATTCCCGAGTGCCCTCGGGACTGACCCCTGTGGACAGGACAGGACAGGACAGGACAGGAAGGGAGCAGGGAGAGGCAGAGGGCAGAGCTGAGCAGTGATGCAGGCCTGACAGGACTCTCTCAAACCCATGGGGAGCTCTGAGCTCATCAGAATGTATAATGCACACCTGAATGGCCAGGCTTTCTATCTCTATCATGACATGTCATTAAATGAGGACACTATAG